CTCTCCTAAACCCCGGGCATTTTATCATTTCAGGTGCTTTTTGGAAATGTCAATCAGTTTCTAACAAAGCTGTCTTCATCTTCACTTTAGCCTCCTATCTTGCTCTGGGAATCCTTACTCTTTCTGCAGCCTGGATCTCCCTTAGCAGCTTCACCACACTGGCCAGCCTCTCATCCGGAATCTGTCTTCCTCTGCGCTTTCTCACCTTCCACATACTGACGCCTTGTCTAAGATTAGCGCAGGCCATCGTGAGATTATAACTCACTAGAGACTCATTTTATTTGACTGTTGATTTGTTATTACAATAATAATCCTGCTAAGTAAGAGAGGAACTGCAGATTTAGGCGTTTGGCACCTGTGACTAGCTGAGGAGTCAATGGTGTGAAGCTGCAACCTGTGGGATTATCATTGAATGCCTCTGTGCCAGAATACCCCTTGAATGGTGATATGCCACTTCCAGGTTATTGTGTGCTTTTACCTCATCCCTTGACTCTGTTCTTTTCTCACCTTGAAAACTCCTACACTTCCTGTCCCATGGCTGTCCTCCATGCTATGCCAGAACCAGGCTGTGTTTAGCTACAAAGGAATGGAAATTACCCTCTTCCTTTCCCTTATTGCTCTTTTCATTCATCATTTTCTTTGGCACTCTCTTGTGCCAAACGTTCCTATTTTCAATCTGTCATTCAGTCTTCTCCCAGCAGAGTTGTTCTTAAGTTCTTCTCTGGCTTCGACTTCTCCTTCAACACTTCATCTCCTCCTTCACACTCAAGTTACTCAGTTGCCAGCTTATCTTCAGCCCCAATGGATCTCTCTCCTTCTTCCCCTGCTCTTTGCTACCCTCGAGAGAGCAGTGTTCCACCAGATTTCCATTTTCTGCTTGCAGCATTTGTTGCTTGATCCTCTCCTTTGTTGCTTGCACCTGGAACTCTTGACGAAAAACTGCTTTCCTCTGCTACTGTCATCGCATGCTCCTCTTCCTATGTTTTAATCCTTCTGTTGGCCCTTTCACACCCCCTCTTCTACCTCGCTGATTGTGCATGCCGAGTCTCATGCTGTGGCTCAGCCTCCACTACGTCCTCTCTCTCCACTTCTGTCCCTAAAGTTGTGTTCTGGCTCTCCTACTGTCCTCTCTCTACACACACTCCCTGTGTCCTCCTTCCCATAGTACTCAGGATGCTCAGTCTTCCCCTTGTTTTCCTTCCACTGTCACTCTCTTAGTGCATCCCTGCCAGTCTCATAGCCTTCTCAACCTGGATGGCTTCCCACCATCTGAAACTCAGCCTCCCCAAATCCGACCTCATTTGACTTTCCTTTTCATTCTCTTCCTTTCCTCTGTGGACCTCTCCATCTATTTTCCTCTTTCCCCCTTTCTACACTAACAGGAACCTCTCTTGACCCTTTCCTCTCTTGGTCCCAATACATTTAATACTTTTTGCTCAGACTCTTCTTAAGCACCATTTGCAGAAATTTCCCTTTTCTTATTAATTATTCTGTCTAATGTTCTCCCCTTCTAACACTGTTGTAACTCTTTGATGGACTCATTCCTGCCAATGTTATCACCAGCATTTACTCTCTCTGAATTATTTGGCTTGCCTTCACTTTTCTTTACTTTTCTCTGGGTACATCATTACTCGGGCAGAGCGGTGGCTCTGTGGCTCAGGATCTGCGCCTGTGGCTGGAAGGTTGCAGGTTCAAATCCCGCAGCCGGCAGAGGAATCCTACTCTGTTGGGCTCCTGAGCAAGGCCCTTAACCCCAACTGCTCCAGGGGCGCCGTACAATGGCAGACCCTGTGCTCTGACCCCAGGCTCTCTCCCTGTCTGTGTGTCTCATGGAGAGCAAGCTAAGGAATGCAAAAAGACAATTCCTAATGCAAGAAATTGTAAAGGGTTAATAAAGTGATGTTGTTGTATTCCTCCCACTGCTTCCCTATTGCTGCACACATCATTTGTACCTCTCACACACTGCTGTCTGAACCACATTTTGGCTGCCTCCAATCTTCAGCGTCTTTTCTCTACCCCTGTCTCCTCCTGCCCTGTTTGCTCCTAATGTAATGCCAGGCTAGCTGTACCCCCTCTCTGTTCTCTCAATTCCATCCTTAGTACTCAGTGGTAGGATGCACTACCCACAGAAACCGAGGTACCACTTGAGCATGTGCCTCACTAGCTCTTGGCACCTGCTCAAAACATACCTGTTTAGAAACCATTTGATATCTCTCAGCACCCAATTTAATCTTTCAATCCCTCTAATTGTGCTAATGTTTCTAAGTCTCAAAATGGTGATGTAAATTGACAAATTGCCCTTACTAAAAACAAGTTATATATACCGTATGGTGCATTTAAATTAATACTCTGTATCAGTCCAGTTTTTTTCTGTTTCATTTGTTTGTATGGCCGTTGTGTTGCTTATCCAGTTTGTGCTAGCCCTCATTGTCATATGATATCCCTCATTTGCGCTGGAGGCGGGTGGAGAGAGCAGTGCAGCATTCAGTGCTCTTCTGTTTAATCATGTGCGGAACCTTCCAGCTTGCTGGTGGACCCTTGTCTACGAATCGGCATGGTTTCCCATGCAGTGGCTTATGCAACTATACATTAACCATGCATTAATTGTATGTATATTTCACTTACTGAGGACAGACAAAACTATTTAATTTTCACATGCAATGTGGCTTCCCCTACCAGGCAGTGATAACGCAAAACTGTCTTTTAGTGAATGAGGGCCATATTGGTTTCAAAGATGGTCTCTCCAAGCAAGGGAGGAACAATTTAACTTCACAGGTTTATCTGGTCAGATATGCAATTTTTGTGACCTTTCCAGTCTCTGTTGCGTTTCTGGCAGCATATTGGATGTTTCTGCTCTTTAATCTGCAGTATAGTGCTGCCTGCTCCTTCAGCCACTCAACTAGATTTTATTGGTACTTAATTTTGCTCAGTGTCCGTTGCTATGGAAACCACACCATGTTGCCCCTCACCAGGATATCTTATATGAACACAGTTTTTATCTAGTTATTTTACTGTTCCTATTTATTTATGCATTCATCAATGTAGGCCTGTACAATGTAAGAGAGTCAGATAAGCTCAGCACTGTGGTACTGGACAACCAATGATGGGCAGTTACAGCAACACAAATAGTTCAGTTTTAAGAATACAGAATCCTCTAGATGAGGAAAGCAGATAAAGAAACACAAAACAGGGCTCTGTGCAATGAATTGATATGTTTTTACTGGGTGAAAACAGTTCATTATGAAAGAAAAATGTTATTGTAGAAAGGGAATCTTGTTTAAAATATGCAATAATAAAAGATTGTTCATAAGTTATAAAAATCTGTAATGATTCCTTGTTTCAGAGATATTTTATATATTCTTTTCCATCTGTATTGGGAATTCCGGTGCTATAACAGTCCTGAAAATGGACTGTTCCTGTTTTTATTTCCTGTCTCACTTCTCTGAATAAACCTGTAGCCTCCATTGATTCCACTATTTCATTTTCTTTTTCTCCCTCTCAATTCCTCAGAACAGACCATTTGAAAGAAATTGTTTTCCTGGGGTTGCTGTGAACATTCACTGACCCCTGACTGTGCTGCTATCTCTAATTACATCAAATGAGTCATTACGGTCTTCAGCATGTCTGCAGTCAACGAATTACCCAACAAAGCTGTGATTGCATGTTTCAGATAAACAGAGCAATGTGTTGTCATCAGGAGAATACAGAAGTGGGCTTCCAGGTCTGCACAGATGTTGGCTGTTTGAAACAGCCAACAGCATTGTGTTGTCATGGTTTGTTAGGGTTACCACCTCTGCCTATTGTTCTGCATCTCTGTTATTTTTAAGAAGTGCAGCCAAGTTCAGTGAGTTCAGGGAAGTAAACACCAGGGCGCTTTGGAGCTATAGGAATTCGATAGTAATTCTATGGAATTACCTGTATCCTTGTCTTAGGTTCTCTACTGAACAATTGTCAAGAAATATAAATGTTACGATTCTGATTGCATCAAGTACTTACAGATCTGTCTAAACTCTTTAGAGCAAATATATCAAGAACTCTTGTTCTTATTTCTTTGCCAACATTATTCATTTTTTCTTTTACAATTTTTAATGCATTAATTTTGCACTTACCACGGGCTGTTGATCCCCCTATATTTTGACAAATACTGTAGATCAAAGCTTAAACTGTGCCGATTAGCCCTGTAAGTCCTTCTCATGGAACAAAACATCAGGAACACAAATGACCTATGGGCGGCGGCCCCCCAGAATAAAGGAGTTAAAATAATCATTTCAGAGTTTCCCAGACAGAATGGTAGCCTGAAAGGAAACCACTTAGTTGACCAGACTGGAAAAAAGTGAATTACAAAGATGGCAATGCGTATGGCAATGCGTATACTTTTCTTTTTAAGAAAAAAGAGTAATCCCAGCCAGTAATTAGCTTTCACTGCTTTTCATTTTGGTTGTTTTTATTAGAAGAAAACAAATAGTAAACCAACCTGTAAATGACTGCAAAACACAAAGCTTTTTCTGCTGCCAGAAGAATGTTAAATAATTAATGAATTGTATTCCTAACCAAGTTTTACTTTAGAAAAAATAGCACAGAGTCCAGTAAATGTCACATGCAACAATAAAGGGTAATTAGGCAAGAAGAAAAACAGATCCTAATATCCAACGGCAGGCATAAATATTTTACCTTTATACACAAAAGCTCTTGTTTGGTTCAATTAAATGCATCCAGGTATTATTTTTCACTGCTAATTTTGCCCTCAGGCTATTATTTTAAATATTCAATGGGATAAAATGCTGGTATAATTTCAGATCATCTTGGGAAAGGAAGCGGACAATAAATAATTGATTGTAAAGCTTGTCATTTAAATTCTTAAAACTGCATTCCTCTAGGAGTCCATTGCTGTGTGGTGTACGATTTTAATTATATGTCAGTGTGTGTTGATGAGTCTTCTGTTTAAACTTAACTTATAGTGACTTATAAGTTATAGTGAGTATCTGACTGTTTTTTTACAGCTCATGAAAAGAGAAGAGGCCAGGAAACCAAGAAAGAACTGACTCTGGATCAGCTTATCTTGGAGAGATCAGAGAAATCTGTACAGGTATTTTTTTTCACATTACAGTCTTTTAACACTTAGAATCAATAGCTCAATAGATCTTTTTTTTCTGTCCTCCTGGTGAGGGACCACCAGATGTCAATTAGCAGGGCTCACTGTGTCCATCTTTGTACCAGGCTGGGGGTGGAAGAGGGCAGCGCAGGCTCTCCTCTGAAAAGCACACTTTTCAGGGCCATTTGCCATTGTACACAATGTGAGCATTACATTTCCCACAGGGGAGGGTGAACTTCAGCTGGAGGAATGACATCAGTCTCAGCACCGCAAGCAAACCTTGTAAATCTCAGCGGTCACTGTTGCATGGGCAGCTCGGGATACCCTGGGCATCTCAAGCCAATCCCAGCAGTGCTACACATGTGAGTTGCACGTTGCCCTTCAGGAAAACCATGCCAAGGCAGTGGTTCCACCTGTACTCTGAATGGGCATCGTTGTTTGTTGAGCAACACGTGAGCCTTGCATTTATTATGTGTGATGGGTACATTATTGCTAACCATCTATACTTCACTTATGCAAGCGGTAACATTATAAGATGTCTTTTATAACACAGCCAGTCCTCAGCTGCTTTCACCTGTGTACTGACGACCAGTGAGATGAGAGATTATTCAAGATGAGAGACGATAAATCACATGTCCTTTCAGTGCTTTCTGTTTCTGGAAAGAGAGAAACTCATTGTGAGTCATTTTAACTATATTATTTAAACTTATTTTTTTACTTCTGTCAATATAAATTATGGAAATAATTTTAAAAGTGGTGAGTATTGCTTAAAATATGGAGAATCTGGGTTTTTTCTAAAAGTGTAATAAAACTAGAACTGCCTAAAGACATTCCTATAAATATCAGAGATATAAATACTAATCAAAGATATTTATAGCTCTGTTTATTTTAGCAAAACATCTCACGAAATCTCTACGAGGGCCTCTGTGAGACCAGTTTCCTCTCTGCATTTAGTTTCTAGCTAAGACAGAGAGTTAGCAGAATGGTGAGTAGGTGTGTAACTGTAACTGGTGGGGTGCTGTTACTGCAACATATAAATACATTTTGACAGTGATGTATTTCTCGTCATTGTGGGATCAAACAAAAGAATTTTAAAGGCAATTTTTCCCTGTAGGAAAAATAAGATTTTTTTGCAGGATGATACAAGATTGGGCAGCACAGTGCTGCATCGGTTAGCATCAGTGCTTTCCACAGTTGGGGCCCTGTGTTCAATTCCCAGGATGCTGTCTGCGTGGAGTTTGTATGTTCTCGCTGTGTTCATGTGGGTTTCCTTTGGGTGCTGTGCTTTCCTCCCACAACACAAAGACATGCTAGTAGGTTAATTAGCTGTTGGGAAAACTGGCTTTGGTATGAGTGTGTGCGTGTCGGTGTGCACCCTGTGATGGACTGGTGTCCCATCCAAGGTGTATCCCGCCTCATGCCCATTGCTTACCAGGATAAGCTCCGGCTTCCACATGACCCTGGATAAGATAAAGTGGTTAGAAAATGGATGAATTGATTAATGTAACAGGTTTTGTTTATTTTTCCCCATAAAGTGCAGACTTTCTTTTTGTGTCTGCATTTGGAGAATAGCATAAGCTTTCAGATCTTGCACAGTTTATGGTAAAGGGAAGACATATGACACTAACAGATATCTATTTTCAAATCATGATTTGCTGCGTATGTTTCCTATCTCTGAAATGCAGTTCAAGTTCAAAACTTTATTGCTATAACAACCAGTTGCATGGATTTTTTTTTGGAGAGCTCATACAATCAAAAGACAACCAATACAAATACGCAACATAGAGCCAATAATAAACATCTACCCAACACATCTTCACATACCATCCTAACACACACCGTTAATTAGAAGAATAACAATGAGACCCGATAAATAAAAATAAGCCATGCAAAAATGTTAAAACCAAAGTGAGTTCATGCATCTACAGAACCTAGTAGTTCTTATTTTGATAGATAGATCAAGATAGACCTTATCTTGATAGACCTTTTGTGTTTCACACCTTATTTTCTAACGTCTTGCAGTTGAAGAAAACGCGTAATTAGATCAATACTATAAGCCACCAATTAACACGCAAAACGCTTTCAGTCTTCCCTGAAGCAGTGCAGTATAACTGAAATAATTAAAGTTTTTAAAATGGAACGTTTCGGTATGGAATGAGTGCATCTATATGCATTTACATACTCTCATGATAACAGCAAACATGAGAGAGCACAGAAGGCAGTATGCCAAGCTATCCTAAAAACATCTCCCTGAATGAACCCCTTGCTTTGAAGGCCTTGATTGCATTGCACCAGTATACATGCTTTCCCACTGAGTTCATGTCGAAAATTTGTGACAGCAAATTCCTTGCTACTTCACTTATTTATTTGAATTAAAAAGTATTACTCATACACAGGCCCTGCTTTGTAATGTGGCTTCCAGTGTTATAAACATGTCCAGCTCTGAGCAGATGTAGCAGGTGCTGTGCTTGAGTATGCTCTGGAATTTGGTAGCTTGCAGTTAATAGAATGACTTCTTTGGGACCCAAAGACTCTTTGGTAAAGCACTGCTAAGCCCCAATTCTGCCAGAAGACATTGAAGCTGCAGTTCATTTTCACTGTCTTCCTGTCAGCTGGGTACCCTGGGGGCAGAATGAAATGTAGACAGCCTCGGAGCAGGGATTAATGAAACAACAATGCTTGATTAACAGCTTGGACAGTGACCTTTCACCTCGATCCCAGACCTCTGCACACACATGCCTGACCACTGGCTTGCACACTTCTTGTCAGCTGCTGCCTTCGAGGAATTCAGTCTGATCCTGCAGGCTGCCTGCATCACTCTGTCTCTCCAGCCGTCAGCTGTGTTATACATCCCAGCTAACGTGCAGTGATGTGTTTGGTGACTGGCAGATGGGCAAACATATTGCACACCCTGAAAGAATGTAGGTGTCAGTAACCTCCCAGCCTCCCCTTCTCCAGTCTGTATCATGCCTTCACTGACAAAGAAAACCTTATGAGCTCTTCCCTGTGAACAAATGGGGTGAAACACTTATCATGCAATGTGAGTGTTAATGTAATATTAATGTAAATTTGAGTATCATATTGGAACCCAAATCCACAATGGTAAATAATCTAAACAAAGCATGCAAAATATTAAGACTCTCAAAAGTTAAGACGAAGATTAACAAATTGCTTTCCATTAGTCAAACAGGAACCAAACCAGTGAAGGAAGGAACCAGTGATGCTTGCTTAATCTTAATGTTGGACCGCAAAAGTCAAAAAGGATCAAAAAGTCGTTAACGACCTTAGCAATGGTGCTGTGATTTATACTAATCCTTGATTGGAAATGTTTTAATAGCTCATTAAATGCATGATAAATATGCAATTTAGTTGTGACCACCCATTCTACAATATTTTGCAAGAAAGTGCCAATTGGAAGTAGGACTGTAGTTTTTAAGCACTTTAGGTTCATGACCAGGTAACAGAGGTGTGATAGGAGAAGACTACAGGTAGAAGACCAGGTTCCAAAGACTCATTGATGAGGCTAGCAACACATCAACAAACAACAGGAAGAATAGGATTTAAAATACAGGCAGGTCACAATAGGTTGCATTATCAACATCAATGAAATGAGAGAAACATTTTTTAATTGTTCATAAGCCTTTGTGTCAGGCCTGTTCTTCTTGAGGTGCTCAAGTCATTGTCTTAACTGCAACTCATTTATGTACTGAGGGGAGAGGAGAAATGAGATGATATTTAGTAGAAGCTATATATACAATTTGCATTTATGGTTATCTGTGGTTTTAGACAAGAAATGGCATCACAATGCAGTACACCATGAAAGCTGAAGAGTAAAATATTTGTTTACTAATTTTCAGAGCATTTTTTTAACACTTTTGTTATCCAGTTATTCTGTAAGTGTTTAAACTAGCATGAACTGCCGATAAAATGTTGCTCTTAGTTTCTGTTTCCATACTTTGAGCACTGTATGTCCGCATATGATACAACCCTGCATTGTCATAATGTGCAAAACATCTGTTAGTAGAATTCAAAATCAGTACTGCATGTTATGTATACATTACTTACATTGTTTATTATGGAAAAATAGCCTTCTCATGTAATGAAAACAATCTCAGTGTTTCTTCTTGTTGCTGTAGGGCTAAACAGATACGACTGTATGTACTTATATATGATTATTATCTACATTTCTATTTAATTAATTTTTATTTTAATTCATTAAATCAATTAAATTGATTAAATGATAATTGAGAATTCACATGTGACGCCACAGGGCCACTACAGTGACGTGACATACTGTATAAGCTCATAACATGGATAGTTTTTACAAACAGAACCAGGATATGTCCATATGCATAATAATCAAATAAATGCCAATCACATTTCGAAGCAGTAATTAGAACCCAGTTTGTAGTCCGATGTTGAGGAGCTGTACTGGTCAATTTGTTACTTGCAGTATTAGACGCCACATACTGTAAATGTCAGACTCCCAGTAATAGTAATTACAGCTAATGTACCCTAGAAAAAGACAAGCACAGAATGTGTGTTCACGAAGTGTTAACAGAAATGCTTTCAAATACCATTTTATTTTTCATTATTTGAAGTATATCTAGATATAAAACTGCATTCACGGTGCAAAGAAACAAAGCTGTTACCATAGAGGGCTCTTAAACATATTTTGCTTTTGTTGGCCAGTGCTCTATAATTGGAGAACTTCTACCACTGCAGCAACATCAGGATTTGCCAGAGTCTTAGACTAACCACTTTTGGAAACAGAAATTTCCTATATCTACTGGGGACCTTAAGAAATTAAACCTGAGCTCCTTCAACAGATGGCTACATCACTGAATAAGTGTAATAAGATAACAAATATCAAACTCAATGTCACTCCATGTGCAGGTACGCTGTTTTTTTATGGTCTCCTCAGGCTAAGTTGTCTTGCCTTCCTAGGTTTGAAAATCAGCAGGAACGGCTGTTACAGTAGAGCCACAGACGTC